AAAAATTTGAAGGAATTTATTTTGTAGATAAAGAGTCAAATGCATTTGCATCTAGGTTTTTTGAACTTTTAAAAAATTCAACGAACCATTATGGGATGGGTGTACAAATCATAATAAATTGTCGGTTATTAATAAATGTTCACTATCAAATTAGATAATGAGTTGAGTGAGATCGGTTATGGTATAATTATTGAATGGACAATAAGTTTTTTACATGAAGAATTATTAAATAAGTGTTCACTATCAAATTAGATAATGAGTTGAGTCGGTTATTAATAAATGTTCACTATCAAATTAGATAATGAGTTGAGTGAGATCGGTTATGGTATAATTATTGAATGGACAATAAGTTTTTTACATGAAGGGAATAAGAGGATCGAATTTGAATTTTTAAAGAAAATTGATAGTGATTAAAGAATACTATTAAAATACATTGAATAAATTTGATTTCAATCAATAATAGCTAATTAGTTGGGTAACAATAATATATTTAGTTCACATTATTAATTAATACATATTATCATCAATATTCCATAAAAATTACATATAAGTAAAAGATGATTATTCTTGGATGTATTAAGTTTCATCTGAAAAGTTATGCATGAAATATTACTGTAAATGGTTGAGGGTTTTATTAATTATACTCGATCTTATTTTAAAAATATTAGTGGAGATGGTATTAAATGTTCATGTAAGAAGTATAAAAATAAAAATTTCTCAATTCAAATGTTATACGATGTATCTTCTACAAAACAAGTTTATAAAAAAAATATTTATGTTGGTTTGCACATGAAGAACATTATGTTCCTTATAAGACCATGATAGAAATGATAGTTAAGTCAACTTGTAGTTATAGTAATGTTCATGGAGTTGTAAATGATAATAGTAATCATTATAAGAGTATGGTTGTAAATGCAATGAGAATTTGTCAATATTTTTTCATTCTGAAAGACTTTTATAAAAAAAATAGTAAGGAAAAGATACTTGACAGAAATCAAATTCTAATATGCACATAATTATATGCTATTTAAAAAAAAACAAAGAAATATATAAGAGATAAAGTTCTTACAAGCTAGGAAGGCGTGGCTACATGAAGAGATTTTAGACCTTCACATGCTTGGAAGGTATGTAGGATGCTTATAACTAGCACATGATGTTTGAGCATTTCTTAAGACAATCACAATTCAGTTCAAAGAGCTAGATTAAAGAGATTATGGTTCCATGACCATGCATACTAACGAATCCATTTTAATCAGTTCACATGCAAAGCAAATGGTAAGAGTTTGTTTTATATGATAATTTTTTTTTAGTTGTTGTATTGTTTGAAAATATTTAACTAATGATTTTGCAGGTTACAGTGCTTAGGCATGATCCAAGACCAAGAAAGTGTTTTATTGAAATCTACATATGGAAGGAGGACAAATAGAAAGGGGTACAATAACTTGTGGATGGTCAAGCCTAGAAATTCTTAGTAAGTTAGATTTCAATATTTTTTGAAGTTTTCATTTTTTTTATATTTGTGGACTTATTTTTTTCAGCAAACATATAACACCTGATTACATGAGAGATACAGAGATAATCATTTGACCCATTCAAAACTCTATTTGAATTTATAGTTTAAGGCTGGATTTATCAATAAACCTAATAGAAATCGAATTTACATTATCTTCAACACTACAAACCGATAATAAATGAATAAGTTGTAGTGTCTCGACCATTGAAACCTTGTAATCGGGATCGAGCCAACAATCACCGATTTTCCAAGTGATTCTATGATAGTAGGTTCAAGATGAGATAACCCAACTTAGTGCTGAGATGACCTAACTTGGGACTGATATGACCCAACTAAGGGATAAATTAAATGTCATCGGGTGGTTATTAGCAACTCTCATTAGTACATGTGCTCCCTTTCATCGAACTCTTAATTCTAGCAAAGATCAACCTTCATCTTCTTCTCTAGCTTTTGTCAACTAAATAGATAGATTGTATTTAATAATATTTTTTAATTGAATTGTTCTTTTTATTTTTTATTTAAATAATTACATATAATACCAATTAAATTACTAATAAAATTTAAAAAACCATCATAATTATCAACAGACTAAGTCCGTTAAAGAATTATATAGAGATGGGAAAAAATTACAAAATTTACTACTATTAGAAGTGATTCTCTGGCGGATTAATTCTATCAGTAATATGCATATAATAACATATAGGTTTACCAACAGTTTATTCTATCAATAATATACCATAATTACTAATGAATTTACCAAGAGAATTAATGCAGGTAAATTTTTTTTAGCGTGTTAATTCTATTAGTGAATTCATTGGTGATTATATTACTGATGGAATGATTAATAGGATAGAAATCACCAACATGTTTTCTAACGACATGTTTTCATCCATTATTTCATTAGTAATTTTATTTCTGATGAATTCAATATTTAAATACCAACAAAATATTCCATTAGTGATTTGCAATTTTCTATAGTGCATATTAGTTTTTTTTTTGTCCCCAAGATGCGTGACGTGGTAGTAAAGGGCTTGAAATCTGCACAGCAAATCTCGAGTTCAAATCAAGATGTGCACCTCTCGTAAGAGCTTGGGATAGCCGAAGTTTTACTTACTTACTTGGGCTCACAAAATGAGCTTTCTAGGAAGTGACGTTTCCTCAAATAAAAAAAATATTAGTTTTTTTTAATTTATTGATATTTATATATACATATATTTATGTTTCTTTTTAATTTATGTTATGGACTAATTAAGAAAAAGTGTCTCTTCAAGTTAAAATTGTATTCTCATGTATGGTAGTTATACACTTGTATTTCGGGGATTTTTAATTTTTAAGTTTGAGTTCTCAACTTAACGATTTCAAACTCTCTCTAAGGTTCTATTCCACGACAGCATAATGGGTGAGGTCCATTTTAATGCTATGCAATATAAAATAAATCGTGGAATTTCAATAATATGACAACAATATATTTTTGAGTAAGATTCAACATTAAGTAGAAGTAGAAGTAATTTTAAGTTTGAGTTCTCAACTTAACGATTTCAAACTCTCTCTAAGGTTCTATTCCACGACAGCATAATGGGTGAGGTCCATTTTAATGCTATGCAATATAAAATAAATCGTGGAATTTCAATAATATGACAACAATATATTTTTGAGTAAGATAAAAATCATTAATATTATTGTTCCAAATCCAATATTTGGTTTTCGAGTTCCATGTCTTCGCCACCCACATTCGGAGGATGCTGATTTGGAGAGAGAGAGAGAGAGAGAATTGGCAGAATCCGGAAAACATGGCAGTGCTGAGAGGGGGACAGGGACCCACATAAGAGAAATTTTAGGGCATGAAGGTGGGCTTTGGGAAGAGAAAAGAAATCCTCACATGGTCTCCACATGGGGTTTTTAAAAGGATGGCCTTGTGTAGGCTCTCTCAAAGATCTTCTTCAATTATTAAATATACACGTATACATATCTTCTGCTTATATATATATAATGCAGCTATTAACTATATACCTAATGAATCATTAATAGATGTAAATTGCATATCTTCTTTTTATTGCTTCGTTGATTGTTATAACCGGTATTAGTCTTTTAGAATATATTTGTTTGGTGTGAAATATTTAACATAAGAATATATTTTAGATTTTTCACTATTTGTTTTTGAAAAATATTTTTTAAAAAAGCTTTCTTAAAATAGTTTATAAAAAAACCGATTAATAAAAAATATTTTACAATTAATCTTCAAACTTAGTTTATTTACTTGGAAAGTATTTTCAAAGTTTTATAAAATACTTTACTAACAGTAATTCAATATTATCTAAATATTTTAATCATCACATTCATCTTAATAACCATTACCTCAGCAACTTCATTAGCATCTCTACAATCACTACCATTATTTCACCCCCACCTTCCAAAATAGACATAAAATGTGGGTGCTATATTCGTGCTTCCATGGAAAATAAATAAAGCATATAAATACTGGGTGGGACCTGAAATGGAAAAATGGTAGCCTTGTCATTGGATTAGAGAAGAAAATAAGGAGACTCGAGAGGCGCATGCGCTTAGCCTTTGCCTTTGTTCCCCTGAAGTCCATCACTGTGTCTTTCAATCAAACAGCTCTTTATCTTTCTTTTTCTTTCTCTTTAAGACAAACACTCACAGTTGTTAGAAGTGAATGTGTAGCTTAGCTTAAGTTGTGGGATTTCTATGCTAGTTCACTAGCTAGTGGGCCTCATTGTCAAGAAACAAAAACCACTACCGTTCCTACTCTTAGATCCTATTGATGAACAAGACATTCATACGTACAGCTTGTGTATGATTTGATGAACAATACATTCACTTATATATTATTGATGAACAGTAACTTCAAAATGATTTCTACGAAGTTTTGTTTTGTTTCCAACTGTGCGAAGATGTATTTGATTGTTTTGTTATGAATTTTAATGATTGTATCCCTTATTAATTCTTAATAATAATAATAATAATAACAACAACAATAGCAATTAATCCAAGCATGAGTTAAGAGCTGGCTAATCCAAATTAATTTGACTAATTAATTTATAGAACACGCTAAATCTTAAACATACCAACGCCAAAAAACTCCTACGTATAATTAAACGTGTTGCTATTTTTTGGAGAGGAATTATCAAATATGAAATAAAAAATAAATCTAAATCATGCTTCCCATATCTATATATCTATGCAATAAAAGTAGTTTGCATGCATGGGCAAAGAGGGACCATGCAAATTATGTCAGGATTTAATTGAAAATGTGTGATAATGATAAAGGGAGGTGGTCCAAGCAGATGAGCGGAGGAAGGATCAGCCCCCGTGAGTCACGGCTATCCTTTCAATTGACCTCCTGTGAACGTGCCACTTCACCCTGTAATCAGCATTTTCTCTCCCTATCCGAAAGAAAATGTTTTTTTTTGTTTGTCATATATATATATATATATATATATATATATATATATATCTTCTTCTCTTTCGTAACAGTAAACATGAATTTCGATCTGATAAATTGGGTCCACTTTTCCCTGTACCTTGCACTTCCTACGAAGCTTGTTCAAGGAAATTGACCAACATCAGGGTCATGGTGAGCAATCCCTCTTCTTTCTTTGTTCTTTTTTAAGGATAGATAACCGATCCCCCTCCGCTCCTAAGCTCCCACTGTGCTCGTATTTGTTTCAAGACTTCAAGTTTTATTTTTTTTTTATTACAGATTAATGAGAGATTTCTGGAAGGAAGAGGATACCAATTAATACCGCAGTAGAGGTGCATGATATTACACGAGCTGAGCTAAAGTTTATTGATTCATGACTTAAAATTGGGAGATTTTTATTTGTATATTGATCTTTATGTTAATTTCTTCGATTACATTCTTTTCTTACGGCAGGAAGGGGAAAAAAACAAGAACACGGGAGAATAATAATAATAATAATCCACGCTCGGTGGCAGCTTGTGGAAATTGGGGGAACGAGGGCGTCTGATTGAGAAGCAAAGCATTTAAAGTGGCGGTAATCGTGCACGCAAGCACACGAGGTAACATACACATGTAGCACACATGGATGGGACCCACTGCTGTCCAAACATAGGCTTACAGCCCTGCAAGAATCAATGATGGAGTAACCCTTCTTTTTCATTGGTTCAAAAGCACTTGTGGTCAAACCCTCCAAACCCAGAGCCTTGTGATAGGGTTTGTGTGAATACGCTTTCACAGAGTTTTTTAACAGTAGTGTAAATTGGGTTGTAATTTAAAAGGGGATCAAGCCCAGGTTTACGAGCATTGAGGACTTGCAAGTTCTGAAAGGGTCCAAGGTAAATACAGTAATAACCCAACCCGACCCGACCCATATTCTGGTTGTGCTGCAAAGTGTGAGTGGGAAATGGGATCTTTTTATGTTAGCTTCTACTAGAATGCTTTATCTTTTCTTATATGTATATATATACATACACACGATCCATTTGAATAAGTTAGAAAAATTATTTTACTATATAAAAAAAATTCTTTTAATTATTCTTATATTACAAAATTTCAGATTAATTTATTAAATCATAAAAAAAAATACGTGTCGATTGCAAATCTATAAAAAAAAATATTTTTTATTTTTATATTGTGTATATTAAAGAAGATTCAAATTTTATCCTTGATTTTCTAACCCGACAATTCATATATATATATATATAATCTTTTGAAAAATAAATGCTATATTAGTATATGACAAAAAAGATAAAAATAACCCAGATAAAAAAAAGAGATAAAATAGAAGACAAGTAAAGTATTTAGTAGTGGTATACAGTAAAATGAATGTTTTTTTTTTGTTTAGTTGATGAGAGATAACACAAAACAAAATGTAAACATGTTTGTTTTAACTTTATATGTAATGAGCATTAATTTCTTTCTTTCTACCGAGTTTAAAATGGTAGTTTCCCTACTCTTCTAAATCATGTTAAAAAACAATTTCTAATCATCATAAAAAATTATTACTAAGAAAATATAACTAAATTATGATTATTCGGTAATTAAATCATTTCTTCAGATATATTTAATAATATAATAAATAATTAAGCCATTCATATATCAAATAAAATAATTATACTAATATAAAGTTCAAATCATACAAGATGGTTATGAAATTTAATAGACCTTTTTAGGTTCTAATACATTCATACAAGATGGTAATTAATGGGGGCACGTAGTTAATTTGTGTGTCGCATGAAATCGATGAACTATATGTAAAAATACCATATGTAAAAATAATCAAATTAGAAAAACAAATTGTCATCTAGTTTTATAATAGATAAAAAACACTAATCAATTTTCAAATATTTTAGATAAGGATGTAATAGAAAATATTGATCACTTATATATCCTTTCTAAGATAAGTTACTTCATATTTATTTTCATAATAAAGATACTTATTGTATATAATTTTCCTAAACTGGTATATTCTTAGTTCTTAAGTATTTAAAAATATTTTTAACTATCTTCCAGTGACTCTCATCTAGATTAGATTGATATCTTCTCATTATGCTCAAAGTATAAGATACATTTGATCTTGTGCATAATATCACATATATAATGAACTCTATAGTCGAAGCATATGGAATCTTTTTCATCCCATTTCTCTCAATTTCTATCTTAGAATACATATCTTTGAAGAGACATATTTTTTTCATCTCATTTATCTCAATTTATGTTTTAGGACATATATCTTTGGAGAGACGTATTCCTTGCCAAATAGATAAGTATCCTCTCTTAGATTCTTCTATGCTAAATCATCTTAACATCTTGTCTATTTACGTGTCCAAGCAATCTTCTATATCTATCTCTATAGATCTTTATTTTTAATATATAAGTTGTTATTCTTATATCTTTCATGGAGAAATTCTTGAACAACCACATCTTTACTAATTAGAGTAAAAGAATCTCATTTTCTATCAATAATATGTCATCTACATATAATATTAAGAAAATGACTCTACTCCTACTAACATTTTTATAAACACAAGGTTCATCATATTTTTTTATGAAACCAAAGTATTTGATTATCTTATAAAAATTGATGTTTTAACTCCTTGAAGCTTGTTTATTCATATATAGATTTTTGTATCTTGCATACTTTATTGTTAAATTTCTTAGATTAAAAACCTTTAAGTTATGTCATAAACATATGATTAGTACTTAAAAGTATATTTTTATCAAGATTTTATATTATTATTTTGTACTTGAAGTATTAATAACTCCTTAGTTAGAGCATGTTTTATAATAAAATATCTAATAATATATTAAAAGATTTAAGAAAGTGAACTTTTTGCTTCAAGTTTGAAACATCCATCAATTTTCGCTGCCTTTTTACTTTGTTACTCTTTATCTTTGAATCTTGCCATTTTTCAATAAATTTGGTTTAACTAGCATTCAATTAGGGCATATAAGAATATAATTGAAAAAAAAAGAAGTATAAGAATGAAATAAACATCACTAAAGCATTCCACAATGATTTGATTATGTGAACAATGACATAATGAATAGTGATTTCACCTTGTCTTTTAGATTATAACTAACTGCATGACTCGCGCTCCAACACGGGTCAAATAATTTTTTTTTATAAAAAATTATATATGTAGGTTTTTCAATGTATTTTTGTAGTTAAAAAAACATAACAAATCAAAAAGTTTATGTACACATGTAATCAAATAAACTAATAATTATATGTGCTGATAAATAAATACAATATCATTAATGACACAATTGAAAAAAAAAGTATAAGAATGAAATAAACATCACTAAAGCATTCCACAATGATTTGATTATGTGAACAATGACATGATGAATAGTGATTTCACCTCGTCTTTTAGATTATAACTAGATGCATGACTCGCGCTCCAACACGGGTCAAATAATTTTGTTTTTCATAAAAAATTATATATGCAGGTTTTTCAATGTATTTTTGTAGTTAAAAAAAACATAACAAATCAAAAAGTTTATGTACACATGTAATCAAATAAACTAATAATTATATGTGCTGATAAATAAATACAATATCATTAATGACACTCATAACAAATCAAAAAGTTTATATACACATGTAATCAAATAAACTAATAATTATATGTGTTGATAAATAAATACAATATCATTAATGACACTCAAAAACAAAACTTGAAAAACCAAAAGATAGATATAGATCAAAATATTTAATCTTGAAAAATAAGACATTACATTGATTGAATAAAATAAAATAAAAAAAGAAATAACATGTAAAGCTATATATATTAAAAATATCATTTGAAAATGAATATTTATTATTTTCAAAAATATAGTTTATCTGTACAAAAAATAAAAACAAAACCATGGATGAATCATAAAAATATCTCTGAAAATTAAATATATAATCAAAAAATAAATGTATTTAAAAGATGCCTTAAATATCTCTGAAAATTAAATATATAACCAAAAAATAAATGTATTTAAAAGATGCCTTCTAAACAAAATAAAATAGAGAAGGAGTATTAATGTAGATATAATTAATTTAAAAAAATGAAAAATTAAAAGGAAAAAGTGCTAGGCCCTGCTGGGTCTAGATATGCACATTAACTCTTGATTTAATGACATGAATAATGAGGGAAGAATTATATTAAAAACTGGGTTCAATTACTTTGTTATAAAACTTATAAATTAAAATAACTTAGATTTAATGTAATTTACTAAATTTAATTAGACAAAGTTAAGAATTTATGATGGTTGACCTTCACACAGTAAACAATTGCCACACTTTATTGTCACAATTACATGAATCTAGAGTTAGAATCAATAGTTAAAATTATGCTGGGAAATGGCTACAACATAGCAATAAAACTGGAATAGTAGCATAGTGAACCAGCTTGACTGCTTGGTACACTTTGGACCGCTTATTCCATTGCTGATTATTAACCAGCAAAAGCACTACATAGTCAAAAGAGTTGGTTGTCTTTACAGCCAGCATATAGAGTCCACCAATCGGTCTCCTCTAAATCTAGGATTTGGTCGCCTCTGTTGCTCCTAGAAACGACAGCCGTATCTTGTTCACTGTGGCTAAAGTAATCTAGGTCGGAAATATTATGGTACGCGCATGCAAATTAATTCAACGACTGGGAAGGATGGCCCTTCTATGAGTTTTGGACGTTTGGCTCTTCATGTACGTATGAGACAGAAATTATCTCCACAGCTATATCGCTAGGCTATTATTTATTTTTATTTATTTGTTCGTTTCTGCTCAAAGGGAAATCATGAATGCTAGCTGGGTGTGCCATCTAATTACAAAGAAGTATTGTTTCTATATTGAAAGTTGTTTGGTGTAGAGAGCTCTTTACATGTAAAGAAAGCTACGAGAGAAGACAAGATCATAAACTTGGAGATATGTAAATCATAAAAAAATGAGATAGTGGAAGGGGATAAAAATTTACTTTTTATACTATAATGATTCGAAGGAACGCAAGTATGATACTCATATTAAAAGGCGAATCAAGCGTCACCGATTCAAGCTTTGAAACTTTGATTGATGGCATGAAAATCAAATGCATGTGCACGAATTCGAAATGGATATGTAGCTAAAGAGTATCTTGGATGCAATTGCGATGGTAAGCGAGGTTTAAATTATATTTTTAAAATAAATTTTATAAATGATTTTTTAGGTAATTTGTATCAAGTTCTTTTTAAAATAAATTTTATAGATGATTTTTTAGGTAATTTGTATCAAGTTCATAGCCTATGCTTTGTAAAGATAATTATTATAGATGATTTTTCAGCACAAATCAACTTGAAAGAAGTGAAATGACCTATGACTTATTGAGTATTAATTGTAATAATGGTGGAAAATATTTTTCAAAATAAAAATTGTGGTGAAAAATAGCTTAAAATTTTAAATTAAAATAATTTTTAAATAAATTTATCACTTTGAATGATAAACTAAACTCTTTGTAATTTATATTGTTCTTGTATGAACTTTTTGCATGAGTGTTTTGGTTGAAATCACCATGAATAATAGAAAACACTAGATATGTCCTGTGCTATGCGGCGGTCGGCATTTGCTTCAAAAAAACAAATGTTTAGGTAACATAAGTGTATTTTAAATAAAAAAAATTACTTGAGTTATAATATTTACCGGGTGTATTAAATTTGTTTTATTTTCACAAGATGATTGAAAAATTGATGAAGGTAGTAAATATATAAAATTAAAAAAAAACATGATAACCTGGAAAAAAAATATAAAATTAAAAAAAACATGATAACTTGAAAAACAATCATTAAATGTATGTAATTGGATAAAAAATAGACAAAATAACTTTGCTCGAGTCAACATGTGATAACTTGATAGACATATAACCTAGGTAATAAGAAGCGAGTCAACCT